ACTTTCTCACTCTTTCTCTCTCTCTCTCTCTGTTCCACTCACGTTCACTCGCTTGATGGATATCCCCTCGACTCACTCGCGCTCTATAGTATAATGTAAAGTACTTGAAGTTACATTACGGAATAATTCACTCAGCCCTTGGTGTCTGAGGCGCGCCCAAAGCTCTCTCATATAGTAGTAGCAGAAGCAGCAGCAGCCACCTCTCTTATATGCGTATATGATACGTCCGATTTTCAGCGCGTGTAAAACGTGAAATTCAATTATCTTATTCCTGAGCTTGCGCTAAGCCCAGAGACTCGCGCTGAAGTAATAGCTAGTGTGGTAGCACTAGTAGTAGTAGCAGCAGCTGAAGCTTATATACCTGAAAGAAAGAAAGAGGGAGTGAGAGAGAAAAAGGCCCCACTCGCTCGCGAGCGCATTAGGATTTTATGGACTGTGAGAGATTTAACACGCACATCACGCGGCCGTAGCAGCAGCAAAGATCCTACATTATGTACAGTAGATTTTCCGGCTACAGACAGCTACACTGGCAGTTATTTCGGGGGAGCGCAGGTATATACCCCCCGAAGACTGATCTTATTTTAACCCTCGACACCCTAAAAAGACTATGGTATATAAGCCTCGTATCCATAATTTTACCGTAAGAGAGCTGGAGGTGAGTAAGAGGGATCGAGTGTCACGCAGTTACCGATCGTAAATGGTCTACCCGTGTTTTACATTTATAGACCTCTTTTACGACGACAACGACGATTGCAGGTAGACCAGACAATCTCGCGAGAATTTATTCATTCAATCTGCATGAACACGACATCGGCGAAAACAAGCCGAGAGAAGATATTCTACGCTGTCAGCTATGCGTGCAAAATCGCGTTCTCATGAATCAAAGATTCCTATACAATAGGTACTGAGGAATGATTATTATTTTTTCGTTTCTGTTGAGATTTACGAACGCAGTTAAAAAAACATACATCTCGCGATGAAAAATCGGTTAAGCAAAAGCTTGTTTCTGTGCTGCACTAAAGATCGAGCGTTTATAGTTGAGTTTGCGCAGGGAGCGAGATATATATTATTTTATGACGCCCGAAACTTGCCAAATAGTTGCGAGAGAGTCTCGCGTGCAAGCTCTGCACAAAAAGCATTGCAAGTATTGCAGAGCTTCGAACTGGCATTTTATGACTTCGAGCCCGCGCTGCCGCTGTTACTGTACAAAGCACTTGAAAAGAAATCTCAGCATAAAATGAATCTTTAGACATGTTAAACGAAATAAATAAATTTAGGATTATAGAGGCAGTAAACAAATTTAAATTTATAACAGCTCTGATTTTAGAGCTTGAATATTCTATTTAGATAAAACAATACGAGAATGATCTAAGAAGCTTGCAGTATTCAATATGCGTTAATGCTAGTGTCAACTTGGATTGCAGAATACTAAACAGAGTTTTGAAGTGTTTATAATCAGATTCAAGTTTCTGGAAAAATATGCTAATTGCATCCGTAAAAATTCACACATATTCTCTCATCAATTTTAATACCGTTTTTTATTGTATTTTTTCGTTCAAGTTATTTTTGTTCTATGGTTTGTTCCATGGTAAACACTTCGATTAAAAACGGAATTTTGGAAAAAATATTTCAAAAAAGATAAATATTCATAGTATAAAGGAATGAAGATATATAAATAAACACGATTATAAGGACCTCTGAGAAATCAGTTCGTCTAGACCAATACGAACGTAAAATACGGCAAAATACCAGTAGATGACTTTATGCTAGTTTCCGAGAAACCCTAACGTGGAAGAACGTACTTATGTTTATGTATACTCTGGTTTTGTTGTTTAATGTACAATCTCACTCTGTTCCAGTAGTATATCCTCCAACAAAACTCGTAGTCGTTACCACGCGTAAAAAGCCATTTAATTATCTCAACTAAGAATATCGTTGGTGTGACTAATTTTTTTTATTTACAGTAACAGAAAACTGATGATTGCGATCTTTGTCGCAGATTCCATTTACACTCGTGAATTACAGACGTACATTTGTTATCAGTGATCGAATAAACCGCGTCTTCCATCGCCGCGGCTTCGACCTCTGCATAGCGATCCCATTAACAATAAAACGACGAGGTGTAGCATCGTTATTCAGAGAAAGAAAATTTAAATTATTCAAACGCGCGAGAGAGACAGAAAAGCGAGTAAGGTTTCGAGAATGGATGAGTCTCAGTTACACAGAGCTACTCCTCTTCTTCTTCTCTTTTCCTTCTCGCTGACGAAGCAGCAGCAGCGGCAGCAGCAGCAACGTCGTAATCACTCAGTGGCTCAATTATGCATATGGCTTCATACAAGGAGCAAGGGCAGATAAAGAGAATGAGAGGCAACCTCAAACGGGTACACATACACACACAGAGCCTTCTCTCTAATCGATTTGAGCAAGAAGACTCGTCTTGTCGCTCCTCCTTATCCCTCTATGCATGCCACTCAAGCTGCGCATTAACCTATCGTCGTCGTGCTCCAATCTTTATTATGAGGCTAATATTGAATAGTCGGAATTAGCAAAATGTATTCGTCAAATAGAGTACGTAGCGATCATATAACCGCAGTTTCATCCAGACCAAAAAAATATTAAAAGAGAGTAATTCGAGCGCGACACGGTACATAATACACATGATGCAACCTACCAATTGCGCTCGCAAAATAATTCGCGCTGGTTCGAGCACACTAGGCACTGCAAGCTCGCACACGATGAGATTGAAGAGGAGAGCTTTCTCGAAAATTATACGCGGAGCTTTAGAAGTACGCTGTCTTCGTGTGATCGTTAGGCAACCGCGTGAGTGCTACCCACACACACACGCGTGCGCGTTATGTGCACCCGCGTTATGGACTTACGGCAAAGGGCTATATACGAGAGAAAGATGGAAAACAAAAACACGAAATAAAAAAACACACGCGCAAAATAAAACTAAGAAGAAATAAAAACGCGCGGAGGGGGGGGGGGGGCACGCGTATAATAATATAGCTCGGGCGAAAAAGCTTCAGTTTGCGCGCCGGGGAAAAGCAAGCAAGCAACTCGAAAACAATTTCCACTTGCGCTCGTCTCTGCTGCCTAGTAAAGGAGAGTTAGAGACGTATACATATATGTGTAGAGAGAGACGCACTCGAGCGCGTATACGCACATATATATATATATATATATAACATACACATAACGATGACGTGGATTATCAACAGAGTCGCGCACACGCAATGGAGATAAGCAGCAACAGCAGCGGCGGCGGCAACAGCATCAGCAGCAGCAGCAGTGATTGCTCGCTCGCGCGTCCATGTTGCGCTGAGTTAATTAAATTTAATTACAATTAATAACATTATACAACCGAGTCGGCGCGCACAGTTCTAGTTGCGAGAGAAAGAGAGGAGAGAGACAGAGAGAGAGAGAGAGATATATAGACTGTATTCTCGCTTTTGTTTATTCAGCAACGAGAGAGAGAGAGAGAGAAAGAGAGAGAGAGTACCACCGCTGCTCTGCGTAATCTCATCGTCGTCCTCATCGTCGTTGTTGTCTGACTCGCGCGTTTGTATATATGTGTGTGTGTGTGTGTTTTGTTATATATATATGCAATTGCCTCTCTTTCTCTCTCACGCTCTATGTTTCTCTCAAAAAGGCTCTTATTCGACTCTTTATTCTTTTTAACCTCAAGCTTTTGAGTGGCTCCCACTGTGCGTTGTTGCCTTTTTTTCGTTTTTCTCTTTTTTACCGACTTTCGTCTTTTTAATCATTTTTGTGTGTGAGTAATACTTATAGTCCGTTGGCGAAATGATGAAATCCGATATTAGAAAATATATCGTGCGCTCCTACAGGATGTCGAGGCGTTCGCCCAACGAGTTAATGCACGACACGTGCGAAGGATGCACGAAGTTCAAGTTTTCAAAGAGGCGAAAATTTCTAGGCTAATTATTGCTCGACGATACTTGAGTTAATAACGACGGGGATAATTGCTAACGTGTCAATGAACGGAATTTCCAAGTTTATTTAAAGAATAAAAGCTCCGAATATGCTCGTTGCAAGACAATGAAATCTTGTTCCGCTAACTGGATTATTTTTGCAAAATCACGAGTTTCCTCGACAATGTGCTCGAACAAAAACAATGGAAAAAAACGACAACAATAAAACTGCCAACCGACGATTTCACGGAAGACTCGAGAAGAACGCGCTGTTGCTGCTGTACTACTGGTGGAAAACAAATGTAAACAGCATAGGCTACGCGCTGTGCGCGCTTGTTCGAGCTAAGGGACGCACGAGGGAAGCAAAGTCACCGCAAAGGTATGTAACAGCGCGCGCAGTACAACACAGTGAGAATCGAGATTGCAGCTCCCCCCGAGCCGGGGGAGAAAGAGGAAAGAGGAAAGAGAGAGACAGTGAGACTTTGCCTGTTTAAGGGTGGGTGTAAGAGTAAGGGTAGTAGCAGGGCTTGAGAGTTGGAAAATACGCTCGCGCGCCTCACTCTCGCACACCCGCTCGCGCGCACGCGGAAGATTGACAGAGAGAGACGAGAGAAAGGAGAATGGTGAGCATAACAAGCTATAGGTGCCTGCAGCAGCAGCAGAAGCAGCGGCACTACGGTATGTGTGTGTGTGTGTGTGTGGGATGGGTCAGGTGGTTGTGGAAGCTAACAGCAGCAGCAGTGCAGAAAGGGTAGGCAACGGCGGGGTTAGGGAGGGTGGATAGTATAAGTGCAGTATAGAGGCGCTCGCGCTACTATTCTCCGACGCGCGGGGCGCGCCTTTGCGGGTCAGATGGTGGTGGGTGAAAGCTCCCGCTCGCCCCATAACTGTGTGTGTGCCTGCGTACTCGTGTACATGTGCCGCACACTCTGCGCAGCTTCGGCGCAGCACACGACTCCACTGCTGCTGCTCTCTCTGTGCCTCGCAGCGCCGGTTTTCCCGTCCTCTCGCATATAACCGCGCGGATGTCGTCGCAGTAGCTTCAGTCTCGCCGTCGAGCTCGTCGCAGTGGGGTGAACTCGCTCGAGCTCGTATACTTCGCGGATTTATATTTGCGGTTGAAAAAAGCTCTCGCTTCGATACATAGGATATATAAATTGTGAAACTTGTGAAATTGACGGGTGTGACGAAAACATTTTTCAATTCATTTATCCAAAAATTAGTGCGCGAGTGTTTTTATTTCTACTTTTATGTTAAATTACGATTAAATTATGAGAAGCCACGATCCTAGCAACACTACCAAGATGACGAGGCAAGAACCTCGAAAATCGACGAGAACCAGATAGGGTGCATGCAGCTTTTCAAGTAAACGATGAAACGTCGTGGCAACAGTAATAACAACAATAACAACAACAATAATTGTTACTGCCCCGGTGGCTGCTGCTGCCACCAGCTACAACAACAACAGCAGCAGCAACAAATCACCATGTCGAGCTTAAAAAAGCCCAACAGCAGGGCCAGCTCGAGCTCTAGCCGCGGCACCATTAGCAGTAATTGCCCCGATAACAATAATTGCGGCAAGGGATGCCATCACAGTCATCATCATCATCATTCTCGTCATCATCATCATCATCATCATCGTCATCATAATCGAGCTTGCTGCGGCGAGCCGCCCGGATGGTGCGCGTATCTTCTGGTGGCTTGCGTGGCCCTCGGCTCCTACCTGAATTCCCTGAACGGTGATTTTGTGCACGACGACATACCCGCGATCGTGCGCAACAAGGATGTGCTCGCGCTCCAGCCGGTGTCTAGTCTGTTTAGCGACGACTTCTGGGGCACTCCAATGCAGGACCCGAGCAGCCACAAGAGCTACAGGCCCCTGACCACCTTGACTTTTCGGTGAGTGTGTCCTGTTTCATTTATATTGCTTTTGCTTCATTCACGTGGATATATAACATTCGAAACACGGCAGCTTTGAGATTCCGAGCGAAAAATTCGAGTTTCGTGTACAGGGTACAAAAATATAAGGGCTACGTAGCAGAACAGCTACGCGCGCGCGTGTATGCAGAGCCTCGAGGGAATCGTCTCCACGGACGCGCACGTGATACCTCGTCGCAGGCACTAGCTCCGGGCGGCCGAGCGGCTTGCATACACATGCAGCACACACATCGTGTTATATATGCATGGGATATCGAACTTGCTTCTCTCTCACTCTCTGGCTACGTTTAACGAAGTATATGCAAATCTATTGTTAATGCCTCGAACACGTCGGGTATTTCTTTTCGCGAATTCCTTTTCGGGCGGTTTGAAATTCGCCCGAACAGCAGTAGTAGACGTAGCAGAGAACTCGGAATACTTGATGATCAATAGCAGTGCGCTCGGCGAGGAGTTAGCGAGTGAGAGAGGGTGATTTAAACTGTGCTGCAGCACAGTGAGAGGTATGGAGCTAGAGGTAAACAAGTCGGCGTAACTTAATAATCCAAGTTTCAAATCACTTCATTAGAGGCTGAAGCTATGCGCGCCGCCGAGGGCTGAGCTTTCAATAATGTGTGTTTACGCATAGTTTCGCCGAACGCAAAGAAAGAAACTTATTATCTTATAAGCAATAGCTTTCTAGGAAAAAAAAGTGTTTCGATAAATTTGAAGCTTTATAACCGTGATACATTCGATTAGCGATTCTCTTATGCCAATATTTGCATTAGATGCGAGCGACATAAGAGCTCTACTTGCTTGATGGATTTAATTATCTCAGTGATTAAAAATATCATTATAAAAGCGGTAGGTAGATTAGAATTCGATGACCCACAGCCAGCTGCTGTGTGCCTAGTCGCTCTCACGTTAGTTGCAGCTCGCGAGGAAAGTAGAACACCGTTGCGCGGAGGCAGTGGTAGCCTAGTAGTGCACACAGTCAGCAGCAGCAGCAGCAGCATCAGAGCCTCGGTACAAACCTATGAAATATTCAAAGCGACACTGGCGCGTAGGTACTGGTAATGGTGGTTCACATATATATACTGCTATACATATAGACGTTAGGCGCATATACTGTATAGAGAGTCACGATTACGAAACCCGAGTGAATTATTCCGTGAAAGCAACGAGTATAGAGCAGAAGAAGAGAGAGAGAGAGAGAGGCTGACGTGTGCAGCGCAGCACGAGAGCTCGAGAGTATAATAGGCAGACCGAGCGAGCCGCGCGCGACTGAGTATTGTGATGCATGGCTCTCTGCTGCTGCGGCAAGACTCGCACTATTTCGCGCCCGACTTGCGCCCACGGGTATATGCATATATCGCGAGCGATCCATCATATACACCATCACAGCGGCGAGCAATACACAGCTTCAACGGCCTTGAAGCCGAAACGGAAGACGAACACTACTCGCTCGTGGCCGTCGTCGCGTGTGCAGAGCTCGCCTATAATAGCTGTCATTGTTTTGTGTGTGCAGCTTGTGCAAGCTCAAACGGCTCGTTGAGAATTTTCGCTTCATGAGTCGCACTATAGATCGCATCCTTATATAATGGGGCAGATAATTTTCGAGCGAAAGGAAAAAATATTTAACACCACGACCTTTATTCAATCGATTTGTGTAAATTTTCTAGAATTCACGTCAGCGGCGACTTTTCTATTCAACGCGTACATTCTAATAATATACTTACCATTGACGAGCTTCTCGCGCCTCCCTCGGCCTGGGTAAATATTTCAAAGAGAGAGAGAGAGAGAGAGAGAGCCAAGCTCTCTGACTACACCGGGTGTGCTCGCGCATCAAATGATGTTTTTGAGAATCTCATTAAATTTAAATGAAACGCCTCATAAATATAACACATATAACTACGGCGAAATGCCATTATGAGTGAAATTTCCGGGATATCGGTCTCTCTCTGTGCGCAAGTTCTCGTTTTCTTGTTAATGCGCAGTGCGTTTCAGAGAAAATGATTGTTTGCCAGCTGTGACGTCATTTGTTTAAATAAAGAGTAGCTTTTCATATTCACGTAAATGGAGTCAGCTTGCAAAGCTCATCGTATCGTCTATCGATTTAAAATATAAATAGAGCGAGTTGTGACGTCTTCTTTTACATTCGAGAAATTACAAAAGAGCTTTTGTACTTTCGAGATATACATCTGCAGTGGCTATTTTTCATCGATTTATCCATCTACCTCGCTTTTTCATGTACGCGGCTGATTTCTCTCATCGTGCTCTAGCGAATCCTTTTTCTCATCCTCCTCGACATGCCACGCTGACACGTGTCAAAGAGTATCCAGCTTTTCGCGTGTTCGGCTTCTTCTTACTTTGTATTGCAGCGGTGACACGACAGAGCTTTGCCTGCTTTACAAGTGCTTTTCTTTCTTACCTCCTCTTCCTCCTCCTCCTTTTCCTCCTTGTTGTGTACATATGGCCTCTTCCTCGTTATCGACAAAGCGTCCAAAGATAAACATAAGGAGAAAAGAACGCGAGGTGGAGGGTCAAAAGCTTCTCTCTCGCAAGCTTTTCTACCTATACGTCAAGCAACACACAGCAGCAGCAGCAACGGTAGTGTGTACCAACGCATCTTCCCTGGGGCAAGTCTCGCGCTCTAACTCGCTCGCGCGCAAGCTCTCCGATCCTCCGAGGATTTCCCCTTGTGTCTCTCTATCTCTTGCTCCTAGCCTCTATTTATTTCGCTCGCAGGTACAGAAAAAGGAAAAAAATCTTTATGTGAACGCTGCTGCGTGCGCGGAGCTTATTCAATTGTAGCAATTTCATACATATATAATATTCAGCCATCGGGCTTAAATTTTCCTTGGGTAGCGTAGAACAAATAAAAAAGCTCAAGCTGCTGCTCCCGAAGCTACTGTATGTATAAATATTTTTACTTAGCAGAATGTATATACGGCATAAAGATCGATCCGCCGACGACGCAGTGATATCTATCGGTTCGATATAACTCCACATGAAACGGCAGAATAGCAGTGGCAGCAATTACGTAGCTCGCTTGATATTTGAAAATCCTGTGCGCAGCCCGCGTGATATATGCAAGTTCGTGCATAGTGACACCCAGCAGCAGCGACTGCTGCATAGGGCGAATATATATATGCCACACATACTCGCGTCGTTCATTGCCCCTTCTCTCTCTCTCTTTCCGTCGGCAGTATGTATACGAGCTTGCATCCCTAGCAGCAGCGGCACTCAAATTTTTCTGCTTCGACACGCAACGTCGCGCTAATGGCCATCACACCTACGGGCTCAGATTGTTGTACATTTAATATATATATATATAACGTGCGCATGACGTTTACACATTTTGTATACTCCTAGTGTACGTCAACGTATGCGAGATGGAAAAAAATATAAATTATTTTTTTACGTACAGATTCACCAGCATATCGACAGATTCACTCCTTCTTCGATGTCGAGTTTCAATAACGATACAATCGTTACATAGAGTTTAGCGACTACTGTCGCTGCACACAAAAAAGTCAAATGAGCTTATCGTCGAGATCTCGCTACAATGTCGCTCGTTTTTGGGTAAAATTCGTCAAAAGCTCTCTACTCGTGCTATTCGGTTCAGCAACGCGAAAATTTTGTAAGAACGTGTAACTGCGAATGTAATCCTCGGTACTTTCTCTCTCTCTCTCTCTCTCTCTCTCTCTCTCTCTCTCTCTCTCTCTCCACCTGTGTAGCATTTTGGCCCCCTTTTAGCCATTTCCCTTTGCTTCGGCTGAATATGCAGCATCACGGGTGTGTCTGTGTATCTGCGTACGTGAGCGCACGAGTGCAATGCGTGTCGTTAAAACTCGTTTTAACTTTCGCATGTACTACTACGTACGACAGAGAGCTCTGCTCTCTCTCTCTCTCTCTATCTCTGCGTTCTCTCTTGATCTCGCGCTTTATTTACACCGTGTGTGAGTCTCTATGCATATATCCAGTACACATACAGTAGTAGTGTATTTAGAGAGTATACTTTTGTCTGATGCAATGACTACTGCAGTGATGCTACTACCTGCTATACTGTACCATTACGACTGGCACTGGCGCCGCCGTCGCTGCTGTTGCTGCTGCTCTGCACCAGTCCATCAGTCCAAAACTTCCATAATGAACTTCGTTACTATACGTACGTATATACGGGCGCGCGCGGCGTTAGCTTTTCGACGGGCGAAACGGCTCGCTCGCTAGCTAGCTACTGGTAGTATTCTCTAAACTCGTCTAATCCGACAGAGCTCGCGCGTGCGTTGAGTATTATGAACATTCACGCGTGGGCGCACGAGGATAAGAGAGAAAGCTTTGAGTGTGCAGTTCTGTATACGAACTAATGGTATAAGCTCGCTTTTTTGTGCGCCGTTGCGCGAGGCTTATGTGTATACGTTCATGCGCCGAAAAGTTGAAAATTTACAAATAACTCGTAACTACGTTTTTGCTCGAAACTCTTTACTCGCGAACTGTCAATCATGCAGAAATACATCCGAAACACTTACAAACGAATCAATTGCAGCGTACAACTGCAGGAAATTCATCGAAGCGTATACTAGAAAATGTCATACTTAACATTGTCAATGTCAAGCACGCAACGTATTTTCTCGGCAAATGCCACCATACCACGAGCGTAGTACAACGATATATCGCAGGCTTATTAACGTCTCTGGTCGTACACGATGTAGTACTACATATAATATATAGATTTGCTTATACTCTCTGGGTACTGTACACACGCAACGTCGTTGTAGTACAAAGGGAAAAGAGAGTGAAACATAAATGGCACTTGGTCGTCTCTGCCGCTGTACTGTGCTGCTCGCGAGAAAGCTACAATTGCAACGCTGCTTTATGTCCGCGTACACGACGTACCTCTATATACAACGTTTGTCGCACGGCGACGACGAGACCTTATATTATTATACATACGTACACCCGCTGCTATGTACTGCGAAGCG